AATTTGACATACTAAAGATTTTCAACTTGGCAAGTATGTGACAGAAAAATCTAAAAATTATAAGTAATTATAAATTTGTCAAAGGATTTTACATAAATCTATATAATAAAATAGCTTACAATTCAAATTTCAAAATATAAATAAAATAATTTTTGTTTTCCGCGGTTTAGATCGCTTTAAATTTTACTTTAAAGTTAATCTAACGACTAATATTAACACCCTAAATTTAATAGGAAAAATAGGACTCTAAAGGTGTGTTTAGAGTTACTTTTTAAAAGTATTTTTAAGAATTATTTCTCATACATATTTTTTTAAAAAATAGTGTTTAAAACTGCCTCATCACTACCTCTACCACCACCACTGCAACCGTCGCCGTCACCACCACCATCACCGCCACACCACCACCATAACCACCACCACCGTCGTCGCCATCGCTATCACCACCACGGTCATTGCCACCCACCACAACTATCAACATCTCCTACCACCATCACTTTCACCCACTATCTCTCATTCCCATTACAACCGATGCTTAAATTCATTTATCTCTTATCTATATTTGTGATTTGGATATGAATACAAATATTTTTTTATTTTTTTTATTTTTTATTACTCTGTGCCTTCAGGCACAGAGGCAATAACTAGTCTATATAATAAAGTAGCTTACAATTCAAATCTTAAAAAATAAACAAAATGACTTTTACTATTCGCAGTTAAGATCGCTTTAAATTTTATTTTAAAATTAATCTAATGGCTAATATTAACACCCTAAATTTAATAGGAACAGTAAGTTTCTAAAGGTGTGTTTGAAGTGACTTTTTTAAGGTATATTTAAAAATTATTTCTCATAAATACTTTAAAAAAATTGTGTTTGAAATCGTCCTACCAGTACCTCTACCACTACCACCACCACTACCACCATCGCCACCACTACCGCTGCTACCACCACCCCCACCACCATAGCCCTCGTCGCCACTACTGCTACCACCACCGTTACCACCCCCATTGCCACCGCCACCGTTACCACCGTCGTCGCCACCACCGTCGCCGCCATCACCACCCCCATCACCGCCACCATTATCGCCGCCACCACCATCACATCTGCCTTCGCCGGCGCTACAACCATCGTCACCACGATCATTGCCACTCACCACAACCATCACCGTCTCCTACTATCACCACTGTCGCCAACCTCCTCTCACCCCTCACTACAAACAGATGCTTAAATTCTTTTATCTCTTTTCTATATTTGTGATTTGATTTTAAATATGAATACAAATATGTTTATTGTTTACCAATTTTTATTACTCTGTGTCTTCAGGCACAGACAATAACTAATAATACGATAAACAACAAATCTTGTTAGTGCTCGAATTAAAATTCGTTACTCATGTAATATCAATAAATAAGAATTTGTAATATCTTTTTTTTGAAGCCCTCATTTAATTTCTCTGTTATTATTGTCAAAATTTGTCAGCACATTAACAACCCAAAAAATCCACAGATAAACTTTCATGATCTGTCCTTAGCGAATAGAGGCGCATTTATGTCGCTCAGGCTCGTAACTCTAAGTAGAACCAAGGACAAACTTGGGTATATGAACCGGTCTTTCAACTCATATACCAGTTCAATCAAGACTTGCGTTTTACCAGGGAATCAAAACCTACATCAAAGACTTGGATACGATTTATCCAAACAACTGAGATTTTATCTTACCAAACAATCACGCTTTTGTGCCCAAAAAACTTCAAATTTTTGACCTCCCACCGAGAAACCAGAAACTTTAACCAACTGAGCTACCCATTTGGTTAGGTCTACTGCAAAGTAATCTCACCACTTTGGTCACTGTATATGATGTAGACTTTTTTGATGTATTTGTATTGCATTTAATGACTGCTGCTCAAGTGAGAGGGCTGCTGAAGTGTTAAAAGTTCGGAAGAGTCTAGGTACCGCTATTTGACCAAGCAACTCTCCCACAAAGATCACTGGTATAATTTAATCCCTTTGGTTAAATCACCACAAGGGTATGCAACCAATTGTTTTGGTTCAATGTGCTACCCTGTCAATACTATAATTGTCCTGGAGATAATTTGCATTTCAAAGGAAATTAAGTAAGATTTATCTCCATATAAATCTCAAACAAAATATCTAAAACTTCTTTTGTTTCATTCACTAAAACAAAATAAAATTCCAAATAAATTATATTTAGTATCATTAAATAATTGGTTCGATCTCATTTTACCCTTTTACTATAATTTTATCGCATTGTTTTATTAACTAGCTTCACATTGCCCAAACCTCAACAGCTGTTAGACTTGGGACAAAAAATGACCAAAATGCATTGTCAATATCTCCCCCCGCCCGTCTCTGTTTAGTTGTACACTACCAAACAAATTCAAAAGCATGTAGCTGTAGGTAGTTTGTATTAACAACAAAACATACATTTGGCTTCGTAATCGTAACAACAAAACCTAGTTCAAATAGTTAAAAAAAAAATATTTCATTAAATATTTTTAATATTTTTTTAGATTATAAATATATGTACGTTCAAAAAGAAAAGAAAAGAAAAAAAAAATCGCACTACATTTTTCTTCAAAAAATACAAGACTCTATTCTCTCATTTTGTTTAAATTCTCAATAACTCTGACCTGTTTAGCTAGTCTAATTTTCTTTTTTGAGATAATTTTGATCTTATATAATCATTCTTATAGTGTGTTTACTTTGCAAGTTTATTTTTAAACTTAAATATACCTATTTAAAGATATAAATTTACATATTTGAAATTAAAAACAAAAATAATCAAATTATTCATTTCAAAATAATTTACGGCCCATCTAAAATTTTTGCCTAATGCCTCAAGTATTCTTGGGCCAACATTAATTACCCATCATCATTTTCATTGCCCATAAATACAATTAATTCATTAACCCAACTGGGTAATGATTCTTCGTTGACCCAACAAAGATGTACGCATACATTTCCATCTGTGTAATAACGAAGCCCATAAAAAGATCGCTCTAAAATACATTTTTTCAATTTCATTTAATTATAAATCTCTCACCATAAATTTAATGATTAGTTATTTATCATTAAATGAAATTGTTGATAGATAAAATACTAAATAACATCTAAATCTCGTAAAAAAAACAAAACGACAGAATAATTCACGATGCTAAAAGCATAATAGCCAAGCATTGCCCACGAGTAGATAAGTTTAATCATCATCAATCAATCTATGGGAAACTTCAATGTTCGCCCCTTAGGCTAAGGCTCGGCCCGGCCCAGCAGAACCATTATCCCTAATGACGGAATTTCAGCAAGTCCCCTGGGCTTTTTCACAATGAGGGTCCAGTCCGAAATAATCAAATCCGAAATAATCAAATTTTTATATCGGTGCATTATTTGTCATTTAGAAAATAAAAGTGTTTCAAAAAAATTTAAAACATAATAGAAATGAAAGAAAATTTTGAAAATTCGTTTTTGAAATATTGGTCAAAATAATTAAAAACATCTCAAAACACCTTAAAATATTTCAAAACACATAAAAACATTTCGATATTCAATTACCGATCCATTTCAATTTTGTATAAATAAAAACAGAAGCGTCTAACCCATTTGGGTGGTTTTGAAACAAAATTCTGATCCATGCAAGTAAAGAAATGCATCTGACGAATCCGTGTGGAGGTTCAACAGCATTTTGCGCCCACTAAAAGAAAGTCTAATTGGCAACGGCTAAGAAGCCAGAAAAGATCACGAAGCTCGTCAAAGAAGCCTAGGAAAATCCAAGAAACCCAAAAAGCCAAGGAAGACCAGCAGACCTCAACAGAGAAGTTGAATACACCTAAGCGGTAAGCTAACCTAAATACCCAACCGTTGAACCAAAAAAAAAAAAAAAAAAGAAATTGAATAGCATAGGAAGCCAAGCAATAGCATACCGTGACGAAGAAACAAAGCAATACCAACAGTCAATGGAGAGGCCTAACAAACCAGACATTGGTAGAGACGCTCACCAAAGTAGAGCTTAGCAAAGAAGTTGAGTAAAGAGGAGCTCAGTACAGAAGTTTTGTAAAGTAGAGCTCTAAAGAAGCTGGGTAGAGTATACCTCAGCAGAGAAGCTGATAATTGCAGAGCTCAGCAAAAAAGCTGATTCCACAGTCGCTAAAACACCGAGGCAGCGAAGGATTCTGAGGAATCAAGCGACTTAACCTTCACTCAATTTGAGAAATACTTGGCTTGTCTTAATACTTGGGTCTAAGCAGAGTGAATATAATCAGGTAGAGAAACAAGACACATTTAACCCAAAAGGTCTAAGCAGAGTGAATGTAATTAGGTAGAGAAACAAGACACATTACCCCAAAAAAAAAAAAACTTGAGGGAAAAAAAAAGTTCCACATCAAGCTGAAGAAAACATCCTTCTAGTATGCTATTGGGCCATCATGCAGTATCTCACTGCCTTCACCTGAATTTGTTTTTGTCATCCCCTGGCCAAAGTAATAGATCTTTTATCATAAGAAGAACTGAAAGCTTGGTTTTGATTGGGTATACAATGTATCTAGAGTTAAAACGATCATTGAACAAGGCAATACATGATTTATGCAACATAACCATCCATGCCACCCTATATATACAATATATATACTCTCAGTAATGTCATAAAGTTCTCTTTATTGCACCAGAGTCCAGACCAACACTAATACTGTAGAGCTTAATCGGATGCCCCTGTGCATCAGATGGAAAAATCAATTGATGATAAAACAGCTTCACAACTTCAGGAACACGGAAAGTTAATCCAGTCAACATACCTCTGTCCAGAAGGGAGACTTATTTTATCTCAAGATAAATCTTCAACAAAAATCAGAAAGAACCAGAGAAAGAAAGATCACACAAGCACCCATCAAGAAACAACGTAAGATATAATTACAATAATTTCAGAGTCCCAATATTCTTGAATCCTAACAGATAATGTGGAAAATAATTTACAGTAAAAAGCATTCATTTCAAAGCTGGTCAACTCTTCAAATAGATAGCAGATAGATGAATAGCATAATAGAAGGAGCTAATAACATAGCATCAATAACAAGTTTTAGTGTTATAAGAAGAGATACTGATAGCTCATATCTAAATGGGGGCAAAGGTAGCTTTCCAATTTGGCACCGATACAAAAGGGAATCTGAAAATTATGATAAGCACCGCAGAAAAAATAAACACAAACAATGAAATATGCTGAGAATCATTAATATGCTGTTCATTCAAGAGCATATACTCTCTCTCAGTCATCGAATGTATTTTTTAATTTAAGGAATCAAGAATAAAATACAAAGATCTGTAGAACTTCCATCCAAGGCAATTTAGCCAAGAAACAGCACCATGAATCAGAAGATTCGACCATTTAAAGAAAAACTTGAACTTAATCAACAAAAACAAGATCCACCAACCTGAATCTGTTAGACAGAAAGAGCATGTAGTTTCCGCAGTCGTTTGATGGCAGGCGAAACTGTCTTCATTACCTTTCGGACCTTCTTTTTCTGCTTCACCTTTTTCTTTGCAGGAGGCATCTCCCTAATGGGACCTGGAGGTATCCCTTTCTTGAGAGCACTACCTCTAGGAGTAACAGAGGGTGGTAATCTCAAACTTTGGGGAGGCATTGGGCTGTGTGGCTTCCACACCAAGTTATTCTTCATGGAAAACCTAACCTTCTTTGCACTCTTGTCTACACTCTTTAAAGCAGAATCCCCTCCAGTATCAGCTTGACTAGTCAGGTCAGGGTTGGAAGAGCCCTTCCTATCCTTACTCTTAGCTCTCTTTCTCTTCTTCAAGGCAGTACATTTCATGGTAACTACAGTGGAATCGAATGAACTTATCTCATCCGTGTCCATGCCAACTTCAGCAGCTACTTTTTCGAACTGCATCTGAAGATTTGAAATCACGGATTCATTAAAAGTTATCAAATTACCATCATTATCTGGTCCGGTGCTTGGACTATCACCATCTGCAGTAACCATATTCTCACTTTCCTCAAGGGTTAAGCAATTTTCAGAAAGCCCATTCTTTTTCTTTGTAGCCTTTTTCTTACCCCCAATCAAACCCTTATTGCCCTTCTTCTCCTTCTTCTTCTTCTTACTATTAGATGCACTCACACCTTCTAGGTCAACTTCACATCCTTCCATTATAACCTCAGAAGCACCTTCCCTTTCAGTCCCATTACTAACAATAGGAATCAACTTCGGCACCTCATCATCATCATCATCAATTTTAACCTCAGGAATCAGAATTTCAACTCCAGAAGACTCTAAATCCTTCTCCAACCTCAAAAACTCCTCATGCAAAACAAATACAACCTTCCTATTCCCCTGCAAACAATCCTCCCTCGAACCCAGTTCGTAAAATTTCCCCGAAACCCCCAATTTCAATGATATCATCCCAAGCACTTCATCCTTAACCTCATCATCGCCATCCAACCCCGACTTCTTCCTCCCCAACAAACTCCTCCCCGTTTTCAATAACACATCAAACACATTACTCTTAACCTTACCGACAAAAATCTTATCCTGAGACTTACCCATCACAGCAAAAAAAGGTTCCAACAAAATCTCAACCATTTCGAGCTTAACAGGCAAGAAGGGCCTAAATTCGTCCAGAAAAACAGATACTATATGATAATTAACCCCATTTCCCATCACCTTATCGTCCGCCAAAAAAGCCTTATCTTTCAAAATACTCATTACAGCTCTCAAAAGCTCTAAATCCCAGTTGTTCTTTTTAAACAAACCAAAAATAGACCGCACAAAACTACGAATTAAGAGGTAGAACTTGTCTAACCTGAGGTGGTCGATGCCGGGCCATTCACGGCGCATGGTTAACAAGAAAGTGGAGAAGTAATGCAGAGAGAGACGAAGATCCAGGTTCAGAATCAGAGAAGAGAGACGGGTGACAAGTTCGGACTGTGATTGAGCTTTGTCGGCGTGCCACATACAGTAGAAAAGACCTTTCCATAGCTTCTTCATGTCGTGATCGGAGAGTTGGGGTTGGGAAGGAAGCCAAGTGGACGTGATGAGCTTGAGGGATCTTTGTCTAATGGTGGTGTTGCAGGATGCTAAGAGCTTTATCAGAGAAGGGCCTCCTGGGACTGGGGGTTTTTGGGATTCATCCATTGAAACCCCAGATCTGAGTTTCTAGGGTTTGTGGAGCTGAAAAGGGGTTCGGGTTTGGAAATCCTCCGCTATAAATTGAATTGAAGAGTGGTCTTCAAGGCCGGCCACACACGACTGGGCCCCAATTAAAAAAACAAGTCACAAATTTATAGATTTATAATATAATTCATATTAAAATTTTAAATTTATAAAAATTGAGATCAACAAACTATTTTAATTTGAGACCTACAAAAAAATTTAATTAAAATTGCAACCAATAAACAAATTTTAGTTAATAATTTGGGCCCAAAGTCCGGTCCAAACACAAAATTAAATTGGATTAATCTCATTTTACATCCCGAAAGATCGTTCGAATCTCAATTTACACCCCCAAAAATCAAAAATCTCAATTTATACTCTCAAAGATAGAAATTTGTATCAATGTGCACCCCCAAAGATCAAAAATCTCAATTTGTACCCTCAAAGATAGAAATTTATATCAATGTGCACCCCAAAGATAAAAAATCTCAATTTGCATTCTCAAATATAGAAATTTGTATCATTATGCACCTAAAATTAATTTGATAATTTATACCTAGATCCCCTCATGTTTGTCACTTAATCATTTGGACCTCTTTACATTTAGAATATTACTCTTACATCTCATGACATTTATGCACGTACAACATGTAACCCATTTTCATTAAAATCTATTAATATAACCGTTAAAAATATAATTTTATTCTAATAAAAAATTATAATTTCATATTACCTTTATTTTATGGGTCCAATATATTCTAAAGTTCAAAATCAAGCTTACCGCTTGAATGCCTAATAAAATGTAGATATTTATATAATGTTTTTCATATTTTCCTTTATATAAATATCTACATTTTATTAGACATTCAAATGGTAAGCTTGATTTTGAACTTTAGAGTATATCGAATCCACAAAATAAAGGGTAATATGAAATTATAATTTTTTATTAGGATAAAATCATATTTTTTAACGATTATATTAATAGATATCAACGAAAAGTAGTTATGTTTACACATGTACAAACGTCATGAGATGTAGGGGTAATATTCTAAATGTGAAGGGGTTCAAATAATTAAGTGACAAACATGAGGGGATCTAGGTATAATTTATCAATTTAGTTTTAGGTGCACATTGATACAGATTTCTATCTTTGAGGGTGCAAATTGAGATTTTTTATCTTTGGGGGTGTACATTGATACAAATTTCTATCTTTGAGGGTAAAAATTGAGATTTTTTATCTTTGGGGGTGTAAATTGAGATTCGAACGATCTTTCGGGGTGCAAAATGAGATTAACCCAATTAAATTTGACAAAAAAAAAATTAAGGTTGAAAATGTAAAAAATATATATTGTATATTAGACATCAAAAATATATTGTAAATTTGAGTAAAAAATCCTAAAAAACTTACTTCAACTTTTGAATCAAACTTATACCAAATTAAAAGAGACTCATTTTTTTTCTCAAATCAAGGAATACTCAAATTCTTACTTAAATCTTTAATTGTGAGATTTTAACCTCTTTTAAAGATCCAATGGTCATCTTTATTCTCTTTTAAAGTTGGGTTTGCCTTCATTTAAATTTGGGTTTATCCTTTTTTAAATTTAAATTTGTTCATTAGAGCTTTTTGTATCAAATCAAGCTTTTTACTCAAATTTAAGTAAAAATTTAAATTATGATTGGAGATACTCTTACACTGACATATTCTCCCTCTAGTTATATGTTTATCCTTATCTAAAATTAATACACGAATCAAATTATTTATTTTCATTACCTCCCTCTTTCAATTTCACTTATTTTTTTTATCTATTACAAGTGCATTATTTTACTAAATAACTAAAGACATAAAACATTAATCTACTAATTATATCTTAATTAGTAAATTAATGTTAAGGGGATAATATTTGTATGATATCTTAATTTTATGGGTCGCAACAATAAATTAAGTCTTATTATTTTATACTTATAATTGTTTATAATTCTAACATAATATTTTTTTCTTATTATAGAAGTGATTGGTTGATTTGTAAATATAACAATTAAAAAACAAACATTTGTGTATTAAAAAAAATTGAAGAAGATAAAAATTTAAACACTATTTGAATTTTAAATAAAATATTCTTAAATATATTTGTCAATAGTGACAAACACAACATAACAACAAAAAGATTAGATTAAATTTAGGTAAATGAATAATAATCAATATCATAAAGTTTGAAAAATTATATGGATTACTCATATGATCAATTGAAAATATACGTGTATAAAAATTTAGAATAAAATTTGACTAATAATCGTCATCTTAAAAAGAAAGAATTTTTTTAAATTAATATTTAAAAAAAAAACCTTCACCTAGAGTCAACACTATAAACCTCAAAGTGTATCAAGCTACATATGATGGACAACTTGAGAGATTTTGAGATGTGCAGATTAAATAAAAGATGAGGGAAACAAATAGATATGAGAATTTGCTTGTTAAAAAAGGTGTATTTAGCAATGATGATCTATGTATATTTACAATTCCTATAGATTGTACTTTTGAACAATTGCATATAGGTAACATGGGAATAAAATAGTACATATGCAATGTTTAATTTATATTTATACTACTAATAAAAGTATTTTAAGTGAAAAACTTTTGATTCATTTTTTTACTCTTATAAAAGATTTTATATACCACATTATCTTTTCATGGTTAAATATCTAAATTACAATGACAACCTGATGTATTTAAATCTTCAAACTACCCTCTAATATCTTTTTTAATTCTCTATTATTTTTGTATAAATATCAATATCTATAAAAAAATTTAATTCACTACGCAACCCTTAAAAATATATATGTATCATCATATTTTTCAATAACATGTTCAAAAAGTCTATTAATAGATCATTACTCTTTTTAAATAAAAAATAACAGTATGTCTATGTATATTTTTTTTTTTCTATCTATACTACTAATAATCTATACTACCAATACAAGTACCTTAAAATATTAATACTTTTTATTAATATTTTGTACACGAAAATTATTCATGTACAAAACCGTGTTGCATTGCTAATATATATTAAATGTCTAAATTACCAAAAAAAAAATTTAACATATTTATTATGACACTGTTTTGTAACGGTCCACATAGGATTTTTGACAAATAAAGGCAAAATGTATAAAATATAGACTAACACATATATTACATTTAATCCTTGTATGTCATTAAGTGTTCAATTTTGCTCACCTAATCAGTTTCATGGACGAAAACTCGATAGTAAGGGATGTGTAGAGATTATAATCGTTAGGAGATGTACAAACACTTCAATAATTGAAATGGAAGGAAATAGTACAAGGCTGACCCTATGGCCCGACCATTAAAATAGTCACTTAAAACCCCAAAAATTTAGGACCCAAATTTAATTTTGGATAATTGGTTGTAAGTGTCTTTTGTAGAACTTATTTGACTTTAAGTACTACCTTCAAACTTATACTCCATCAAGTCATCTTTTTTCATCAAATAGTTGTCAATAAATACACATTTTAAAACATTTCAAATTCTTTTTGAAATATATTCCATAATTACCCTTACCATAAATATTGTCTATCATTGTTAGTTTCAATGTTTTGAAATATAACAACTCCTAACTTGAAAATAATGCTAGCATTAAAATTATTTTTCTATCTCATATTTATATGAGAAATACTATGTAACCCAAATTTGTATCTCAAATGAAAGGGGACCCTTTGATGAATGGGTCTCATCAACTTTTTAAAATGGGATCCATTGATCCAATGGTGTGTGTGTGTGTGTGTACTTAAACCCAAATAAGTCTACAAAAAGGGACCGGCCTTCCTAAGCCCCATTTAATTTTTGCTCCTTAGTTGAGCTTAATGTTTTGAGATCCTTTTGAATGGACCAATTAAAGATATAATGTATTTTCATAAGTCTATGTAAAAATTTATAAAAAATCAGAAAATATAACAAAACTGTCTAAAAAACCTAAAAGTAGTGAATTCTAACTTAAAAATTGTAATCTCTCAAATTCATGTCACTTCATCCTCTCACCGCCGCTTTTCAAGCTTTTCTCTACCTCCCACTCTCATTGTTTTGATCTATATATTTGTCTTTATCTTTGACTCTCTTGCTCTCTTTAAGACGTCAAACAATTTATTCATCCGTAAGATCTTAACTTCGCATTTGCAATGACACCTGTATTATTTGATTTCATCAAATCCCAAAATTACTAAAATATTGGAACTAAATCAGACAACTCTTTGTAAAATATCTAATGATCAGTTTTTATTTAAAATATTGATCTTAATCTCATATAAAATTATCGCTTTAACCTCCAATTTGTGTTAGGTCGCACTTAGTGGTCTTGAATTGATTAATTCATTGTTGTTGCTCACGAGGTAAGACACAAGTAGGGATAACAGTGGACTGAAAAAAAAGGTATTCGTTCAAACCTGTCTCATTTGGACTGGAAATGGACTATATATATTGGATAATGAACATATACGGATATACTTATATAAACCCGTGCGGAGATGGACTGAAACTCATCCCGCGTCAAATAAACCCGTAAATATAAAATAAATCAGCTAGTATATAAAATATCACAAAGACACAAACTCTACCCATTCTCCCACCCACTTATTAATACATATATATAATATCACAAATTCCACCCACTCACACGCTTTTCTCTTTACTTAAAAAAAAACACTTCACTTTATTTCTCTTTGTTTTAATCAATTTGTTATATAATTGGGCTTCATCATTCTTGCAAATCCATTTGTAAGATTTCTAGGTTTTTTATTTTTTTTTATTAAAATCATAGAAATTAATTGTTATGGTTGGAGATGATAATCACAATTTACTCGTGTGACAAGGATGAAAATTAAATTTTTTTCTGCTAACGGAATGAACTGGAAGTGGACAAATATTTTTAAAGCGAGTACGACGTCGAAACTACTCTCCAGCCCCAGCCCTGGTCCACTGTCATCCCTAGTGTCACGGGATAACAACTCATTTTTCATTTCGAGGCTACCTGTGA